GGGGGGGGGGGGGGGGGGGGGGGGGAAGGTAGATGACTTATTCTGATTCGACTTTAGAAGGAGAAAAAAAAAGGAAAATTAGACTGAGGACATTTCTTTGTAGAAGATGGATGATTTGGTAAAGGAACTGACCACTTGGAGGTCTGTCAGGGTTTTCGGTTGGTGAAGGTGTTTCTACATCCAAGTTCACACCTTAGCATCTGGGGGGCTCTGGAAGTTAAGGAGAGAGAAACAGAGGTAGGAGCTTTTACCTGGAAGTAGCCGGGCAGAACCAAAGGAGAATTATGGCTATCACGTCAGGTTCTAAGGCAGCAGTTCTCATACCCCGAGATATGTCTATTACACAGTCATTTTGATCTGAATAGTAACTTAGTCATTCACTTGTACCTCCCCGCAGTGTCAAGCCTTAGGTCGTTAAGTGTGTTAGTAGAGTTCACTGGCCACATCTGTGAACCAACCCACTCCTGAGCGAACGCTGTTTCACCTACTCAAATTTTGCTTTTCTCCTCCATGGAATTAGGTGGCAGGTGCTGGTTTGTCTTGTAGAGAGAAATATTTCAGAAGAATTCCACTGTCAGAAAACATCACCATCAATAATGAAACTATGTATATAAGGTCATGTCTAATTTCATTCATTCTTTGGCAACTGTATCAGGATTCTAGAAAGAGGGTCTTGAGCCAAGCTGACCCCGAGTCATCAGACACGGGGGATCAACGGTTTGCCCTTTCTCAGTAACATTTGCTGGGAATTCTCTAAGTGGAGTAGAAACTCACGGTCTGGGAGGTGCTGGGAGGAAATGACAGTACCCACTTCCGGAGTTGCTGTTATCAGGGAGATGGTGTTTGCTTGGAGGATGTTTGGGTGGAGGGCTGGGGAGGGGTTGAGGGGCAGGACTAATTTGATGGGGAGTTCACTGCAGCATTTTTAATGACATTTAATTCTGCTTAAGCTATCATTGCATGAAGAATGGCTTTTTGGGCTTCCCTGGTGGCTCAGTGGTTGAGAGTCCGCCTGCCGATGCAGGGGACACGGGTTCGTGCCCCGGTCCGGGAGGATCCCACATGCCGCGGAGCGGCTGGGCCCGTGAGCCATGGCCGCTGAGCCTGCGCTCCGCAACGGGAGAGGCCACAGCAGTGAGAGGCCCGCGTACCGCAAAAAAAAAAAAAAAAGAATGGCTTTCTCTCTGACTGAGAGGCTCTTTCACGCTACCTAAAACCGTTACTCAGAACAGGCAACTCTTAGGAGAGAACGGTTTCTCTGTGATCCACCTGATTGTTGTTTTGAGGTCAGACGAGCTTTTTGTAAAAGGCCTTTCTAACCTCTAAGTCACAAAGGCCTATACCAGCTTGAATTTTACCAAGCAAAAGAATCACCTGGAGTGCTATGTGCGGATTCCCAAACCTTTGCCTGCTACCCTCCGTCCAGATTATTATTCAGTAGTTTTTGTTTGTTTGTTTTGTTTTTGTTTGGCCGCGCTGCGCTGCGGGATCTTAGTTCCCCGACCAGGGATTGAACCCGGGTCCTCGGTGGTGAGAGCACGGAGTCCTAACCACTGGACGGCCAGGGAATTCCCAAGATTATTATCCTGTAGTTTTAAGGTGAGCTCCAGATAACTGCCTCTTGACAAGAAGACCAGGTGATTCCCAAGCAGGTAGTTCAGAAACTCACTCTGGAAACACTGTGTATTTGGGTTTTGTTGCTTTATTTCATAGCTGTGTCATCACAGGCAAAAATGAGTCCCAACACTTTTATAGTTAGCTTCATTGTTTCTTAGTTATTTTGTAAATGACCCATGCAAAAGTTTAATTCCAGGACTTTTTTTCTTTTATGACTTATGTGAGCCATACCCCATTATTCATGACTGAGGGTCCAGGTAATTCTAAAAATTTTTATTTCTCTAGGACTATTCATGTCTCAGATTTTTCATAGGGTTTCATCTTTTAAAAAACATTTCACATGGACGCCAAACCTTACCGATCTGAAAAAGTTTTTGCATACCGCAGTGCCACTTCAAACACATAGATGTTGAAAGCTGATTTTTACGAAAACTAGCAGTTACTTTCTTTGGCCTAAATCATCCCTATTCGCATCATTTATCTCTCCATCCAGTTCATGGGCTTAACTTCAGAGGCACTGTATCAGCACCAGTGCAGCCTGTCCTTTGGCCCTGCTTAAAAACCAAACCAACCAACAAAACAAACAAACAGAAAAAGGAAGGGGAGGAAAGAAAGCATTTTAATACTGTAGCTTGATGGCAGAGAGAGGGTAAACCAAAGGTGCATACCTGAGGACTGCAAGTTGGAAACGACAAATGATGGCAGTTAGCTTGCCTTGTTTCCCCACAGACTTCGTTTGACCCCGGTGACCTGGGGCGATTTCAGGGATCCGGATTCTAGTAATAGAAGCATCCCTCTTTGGCACCACAACACCCACTGGCCTGAAGAAGGTGCTGTTTCCCAGGAAAAGGAGTGAAATCCCCCCAAGAAACGGACAGGGCCCTAGTCTGAAGAGAAAGCATTGCTAAGCAAGCGATGCTTTGCGTACCCTGCCTGTCTCTGGTTCCGTTCCTTGAGATTTTTATTGAAGATAACTTTCAGCATCTCTTTTTAGAGGTCAGATCTGAATGAGAAGACGTTGTGTGCCTTTTGCTGATCTTGTGACAAACAGTTTATACCCAGTCTGTAGCTTCCTGTCTTTGCTGACGGGTGATGTGAGGGAATTTTCTCTCTGTGAGGCTGTGGAGAGGGCTCTAAAAATAAACAACATGGTTACTTATTGGTGAGAACATGTGTGAGCAGATGTCAGCTGGTAACAGCATATGGTGGCAACATGATAGCAGCGTGTTACCAAGACCTGGGTGTTGGGCCCTCGTCTTCCAGGCCATTCAGGCCATGCAGATGCCACATCTCAATTAAAGAGGGTTTTGACTGGAAGGTGGAATCCACGCAAGTGTGAATATAGGTCCCTGGGATCTTTTAGTGGGCTGAATGTTGGAGATGGTAAGTTACAGGCCATGGAAAAAGTCTTCCTTATCTGTTTTAAAATTGAGAGATAAAAGTACAAATCTGGCAAAAAAACAAAACAAAACAAAAAAAAGGAGGGGAGTGCGTATGGGGTGGGAGGGAATCCACAAGGCCTTTGTCTTTTGTCCAAAGAAGTTTTCAAGTCAGGTATAAATAGTGGCCATATGGTACTTCTAGAAGACATGCCCTAGGTGAATGGAAGGTGCATGGATTTTTAACTTGGTGTAAGGAGCTGGGAAAGAGGTATATTCATGCAGACCTAGAAGGCCGTCAGGGGTTAATCTATCAAATAAATTAGATAACTAATATTATTACATCCCTTGAGCACCTTTTATTCCTCAGGTTCTTTTAAATGTCTCATTTCAGTCTTTCAAAAACCCTCAGGGGTAGCATGATGTCAGTTTCATTTTATAGCAGCAGAGGCTTGGGTGCATCAAGGCACTCGTCCAGAGATTCCCAGGAAACTAATGACAGAGCAGGGTGTCCATCTACATCTTCTCATGCAAAAATCTGATATTCTGTCACAGATAGGATAGCCTTTGAACACTCAGCAACGCTTTTTAGCTGGAGGTATTTTTTGGTGTATTTTCGTTTATAAGAATATGGTGGGCAATATACAAGATCTAGTTGCTACCTTTACTTTAAAAAGAGCAAAGTTCAGAATTTCAGGATGTCAAAACTATCACGGAAGATATTTTAATGCATTCCAAGGAGCCCTAGATTTTTAAACTGCAGCTAAGCAGCCCCAAAGCAATATACACTCGGATTTTTGTTCACTGGAGGAGGAGTTTTCATGTGCGGGTTAGAAATGATGACAGGGGGCCTCCCTGGTGGCGCAGTGGTTGAGAGTCCGCCTGCCGATGCGGGGGATGCGGGTTCGTGCCCCGGTCCGGGAGGATCCCACGTGCCGCGGAGCGGCTGGGCCCGTGAGCCATGGGCGCTGAGCTTGCGCGTCCGGCAACGGGAGAGGCCACGACAGTGAGGGGCCCACATATCGCAAAAAAAAAAAAAAAAAAGAATTGATGACAGGTGGTTTTAAGAAAACTGAAATCGAGGCCAACCAAATGAAAATCAGAGTTTTACTCTTAATAGGGAGTCTGTCTTTTGTCAAAGAGGTCAAGGCCTTTCTTATTCATCTTTAATGTAAGTCAAGGTATTTATTTTACCATTTCCGTATATAAGTTGTACATTGCTATTTTAGCACTAGAATGTGTTAAAGGGAACGCTGAATTCAGGAACCTGACAGCTGGTTAAGGGATGCCAAAAGATCTGGGGCGAGAATCCACAATCCCCCAAAGATCCCTCCTGCCTAGTCCCCTGGCCCTGAGTAGGGGGGACCTTCTGTTTCTGGGGGAATGGTAAGTACGTTCATTGAGTCCCTCTTCTGCGTTGAATCTTTGTATAGCTCTGTACAAGGCTTCTCCTCAGTAAAATAGCTAATGACTGTGCTTTTTAAAACTCCTAGCTGTCTGCCCAGTTGTTACAACACCCTCTGGCTCAGTGGGCAGCTTGTGCTACAGACAGCCCCAGGTGCTCTGTGGGTACCTTGGTGAGTACACTCGTCTGCTTTATATACCTCGTTTGACGTAGTGATAGCCGGCCCATCTTTAGTGTGTGTCTCCTGGGGGGAACTTGGCAGAGGCAAAATAGAATTCTGAAGTGCAGCCTTGTAGCTGGACAGTCACACAGGTGCCCCCAATTTTGTAGTCAGAGTTTCTATGAGAAAGACTCACGAATGCTTTGAAGTGATATGATGACTTGATTGTAGTATGGGGAAGAATGGATCGTGGGTCTATGAGATGTGTGTGATCCAGGGGTTAACGAGGGATTTGACAGATTGATCTCTTGACCCCCTTGGTTGGATACTCTTCTGAAGGGTTGAATGGTATGGCCAGAATGTCAAGGGTCCTTTTTTGGTATCTTATTTGAATCTATGTTCTTGTTTCTGGCACATAGCAATGGCTCAATTAATGTTTCCGGTACTGAACTGAAAGGGAGGAAGGAGATTTTCTCTCCTTTGAAGTTCTAGAGGGAGGCCTGTGGGAAACATGTGCTGATCATTGTGACCTTTATGTTGCCATTAATGGGTTGCATGAGAGAATGCGGCGGTCATGATCAAGGCTTCAGTTGACTGAACCTGGGAGCTTGCCACTTTGCCCTGACCCTCAGAACAAGTGCAGAGTCTTCGGAGCTAGGGCCACGTGTTAGGTTGGGGGCCACCGAAGCCGGAGGTCTCACCCCTTTCTGATTTGGAACGTTAATAAATTTAGCCAGCTTTGATTGAGTGCCATCTTTTATTGTATGCTGGGCCATGAGACCACAGCACAGAACAGGTCTTAGATGATCCTGACACTCAAGAACTCTGGCCCAGGTGGTACCCTGATCCATTCAGGAAGGGAGGAAATGGACTCGCCACCCTGGCGTTGGTTCTCGCTGCACTTTTGAGGCCCTGAGGAAGCGTGGATCATATTGATTCTAAATGCAGGTGGCGGTCCCAAATAAGGACAAGAGAAATGTTCTTATTACCCCAGTAGATGTCTGACTCACTGGGTTATCCTACCGTGAACTTTACCCTGCCTAACCTTGCTTCTTAGGAATCAAGGACTCAAGAAATGAAATAGTTTATTTACAGTGGCCTAAGCTGGGCTTTCCTTAAAAAAAAAAAGAAAGAAAAACAAAAACTGATTCTATTGAGAATATACATTTATTTTAGTACAGAAGGCCTCAGAGTGGCTAGAAGCTGCCATGTGAATAAAAAGAGTGAATGACTTGATCCATGCTTTTAAAGTTCCCCCCCTTTTTTAGGGAGATTGTGTTTGGTTTTCTATCTCGAAATGTGTTTTATTTCACTGTCTAAACCAAGGAGTTAATTGTCTGAATTTTTTTTTTTTTTTTTTTGGTCTCACCAGCTTTTTGGAAAAGACAAGGGAAAGGGATGAGAGAAGGAAAACATTTGTTGACTACCCCCTAAGTCCCTGGTATTTAAGGCACGTCATCCTGGGTAGGGAGGTTGAGTGTGACCTCCCCATTTTTCCCCACCGGAAACTGTGGCTTGGAGAGGTGAATACCTTGTCCTTGGTCATCGAGCTAGCAAAAGGGACAGAGCCAAAATCTGAATTCAGTTCTGGCCCTGGTGCCCTCCACCACACGGACCCCAAACTTCTTTTATTTTATTTTTTATTTTTTTTTTGCCCTTCTTTTTGCTTTCCCTTTGGAATCCCATCCCATTCATTTTATGATTCTCTTACCTGCCACTTTGGATTCATTTCCTTTTCATGTTTTCTTCCCATAGGAAACAAGCGGACAGGCCTCCCCTAGTTCTTGGCCTCAGACACACCTTCTCCCTCGGGGTTATTTTCGGTCATTTAATCGCCCCCCGCAAGCTTCCCTATTTCTTCGGTGAAAAAACACTGGAAACCTACCCTGCCCCTCCTGAGTCTGGGAAAATCAGGAGTGTCTCAGAGGGTGTGGCCAGGATGGGGGAGAGAGACACACAGATTCCCTAAGGTGGGAGCCTCTCCCTCCCCACCCAGCTTCCCTCCTGGGAGCAAACCCTGCGGACCCTTGCAGACCTTCCATTCAAGACTGCTGAGCAGTGGGGCTCTGCATTTTTTTTTTTTTTTTTTTTTTTTTGTCTCTGTTCTTAGAAATAGTAATTGAGTAAAAATGTAAGTGAGCGGATGCCAAGGGGCAGGCGTCCAGGGTCAGGGTGAATTTCTCCATGCTGACTGTGATTCTGAACACTCGTTAAGTGGAGCCTGGCTCGTGCCAAGCGGCTCGAGGGCCATCCCTGTCACCTTGTGTGAACTGCCTCTCCATTCCAAGGAGATGTTGGGAGTGGCCTCAGGGAGCGCGGGGTGGGGGTGGGGGGTTGGGGGGGGGCCGGTGGCGCCTCTGGCTTTCCTCCCTCCGTCTCTAACCTGGGTGTAGTTATCACTGTGTGTCCTGAGACCCATGCTTGGACTCAGCTTTACATCAAATCGCCTGGAGGAAGAAATAGTCCTTGCCCCTCACAGCCCATGTGGCTGCTGCGTAATTTTTCTCCCTTTAAGTTCACTCTCTCCCAAAATGTAGGTTAGGATGAGGTGAGCCTGCCTGAAGGTTTCTCTCCTGAGATAGAAGAATCCTGAAGATAAGCTGCCGAGACAGTCTCTCTAGGAAGAAATGTGTTAGAAGTCGCGAAGGGAAATTCAGCTTCGTTCTTCAAGTATTTACGGAGCGCGGTGCTTTTTGTTAGCTTGGTTCAGATTTAAAGATGGGCTTCTCAAAGTGTGGCCTGCATTTGTATGTCCCGAGGGGTCATCAAAAGCAGATTCCCTGACCTATCTGAGGCCTGCGGAGTCAGAATCGCTGGGGTGGGTGGGGCTGAGGAGTCTGTACCTTTAAGAGGCAGCACAGGTGAGTCAGGCCTCACTAAGGGGAGGATGCTCTCATTCTGCTGGTCTGTTTACTCGAAGTCCTTCAGCTTGAAGGATGCAGATCCAGTGGGGCCTCTGTTTGATCAGCTGGTCCTGCAAGTGTGAGACCCTGAATCCACAGCGTGGCTGAGTTTTCACCCTGTGCTCTCCATGTCCCCCAATGCATACAGATATCAAGGTAGATCTGTGGTTAATTACACTTCTCACACGCAACCCCTGCTCACCATTCACCGCAGAGGAGGCCCTGAACGTGCAAGCAAGTGATCACACGGAGGGTGGATGCCTAGTTGGGATGTTATGTACGGGAGTGAATGCCTCCATTCAAGTGTGGATTGGGAAGGGGAGTTTTGAAACTAATGTATAATGTGTAAGTGATGCATAATTTATAATGTCTTAGTCAATGTATAATGTTTAATTCGCTGAGGTAGTGTTTGGTCAAAGCACTGCTGACCTCTTCGTGGCCTGAATCCTGCTCTGAGACATTCCACGGGGTAAGGATCTCGCCAACAATGGAATGTAAACTCTACTCTCTCAGCCAAACTCAGCCACAAGTAACTGCAGTTTTCTCTTTCCAAATAGTGTTGTGTTTTTTTTTTTTCAACCAGAGGTATTCGAGCAGGTGAAAATCTGACCCAGATATTAAAAAGAAAAAGTTAATAATAAATTACTTGGTATTTTCTTTGTGCAAGCCTAGACCTCCTGTTATTTTGATGTTGTTTTGGAACCATCCAGTATTTTGATTCCAGCCATACAGTGTGGATATTATGTAGTGTTTTTTGACCATCAAACTAAAGGAGCAGCCAGTTCTGCTACATGGTCTGTATCACTAAACCAAAAAAAAAAAATTATTATTTTTTTTTTATAAACATGCCCAGAAAGTGTCCTTGTGCCCCAAGTGATTTCTCTGTTACTTCTACCAATTTGAGAACTAGGTTGTTTGCTGTGTGGTGAAGGGTAAATGTAACAGTCAACTAACACCAGAGGAAGAGGCACTAACTACAGTGGTTACTTTATAGCCACCCTAGGATTATACTGGTCAGGCTTAATAACCACTAGAAAACATGAAGTTTAAAATATTAATATTATAAGAACTCTTATCACTCTGCAGATGTACACAATGGGAATAAAGCATTTTTCTATTGAAGTAGGAAGAGAATGACTGGTCATATCCATTCTGCTTCCCAGCGAGCCTTCCATTAAAAGGTCTCTACGTGCACTACAAATATAGATCGAGTTTTAAGATAAACGTCAAATGCATGCAGAGATCGTGGGAAGACAGAGGTAAAGACAAGACCTTCTTACGATACTGTCTTTCACTCCACAGTGTTCATTGTCTGCTATGTAATAGACATCCGTCTAGGCACTAGTGATGCCATCAGTGAATAAAACAGCAGAAAACTTTGCCCTGGGAGAGCTTCACATTTTGGAGAAAGAAGATAGTTCAAAGGACGAGATAAGAATGGTAGAATTTGATCAATGCGATAGGGCAGAAGAGCAGCGTTGGGGGAATGGGGAGGTGAGTTGCGATTTAAAGTAGGCTGGGCGTGGAAGGGCTCGTGAAGAGGGTGACATGGGAGCAGAGACTTGAAGGAGGGCGTAGGACAGCCTGAGACAGTGTGGAGAAGAGCGTTCCTGGCAGAGGGGCCAGTGGGTACCGTTCCCTCCGCACTCAAGGATGAGCCAAAGTATCCTAGGAGATGAGATTAGAGACTTAATGATGCGTCAGGTAGGGCCTTGGAGGCCACTGTAAAGTCTGGGGCTTTTCCTCTGCGTAAAAGAGGGAGAAGGGTGGTTCTAGCCAAGGGGTTCCTGTGGCTAAATTGAGAAGAGTGCACAGGTAACCAAGGAGGAGTACGAAGCCCAGTGAGTTGGACTTGGCAATGCATGGGAAAGGCACTTCACAGCTGCATTTCTAGGTGGAGCTGCACCAAGAACTACAGCCAGACCTCCCTTGTGCTGAGTTCTTTCTTTAGCAGATAATTTGATAGGCAAGTGCGTTCTGTATGTAGAATGTGTTTTTTTTGTGGGGGGGGGGGTTTGTTTTGTTTTGTTTTTTATTGTTTTATATGAATACTCCTGAGTTACTGGCAACCCACCCCCTTCCTTTCGGGAAAGAAGCCATCTTTGCACC